AGGAAGCCCTAATACGGAGGGCACCTTTCTTCACTGGGTAAAGTAACGCTAATTGCGGATGCAAAATTGATGGAGGGAGCTCCCAAGGACCTTCCAGGACACCCGCCTCCCTAGACAGGAGTTGCAGAGGAGCAAAGGGGAAGCCTGGCAGGGCTAGGACCTGGTCGAAGTGAGATGAGAATCCCTGGCTTGGTGTAACTTTAGGAAGAGGGTCCCCGTTCCTACTGCAAGTGTACTGGGATTGGGGAACAGCTAGATTTGAGCAGTTGGGAACACAGTGGAAAAGCAACTTCATTGTTAAGTGTCTCAGGAAATCCATCCCTTACTTGCCACCCTGCTCAAGTCAATGTTCTAATGGATAAGACTCAGTTCATGCCCACAAAGAGTTCGCAGTCTGGTGGATCACAGACGTGTATAAACAAAGGATTAAAAGAGAATGTAAGCCAGGCAGGCACGGTGTCTCACGCCTGTAATCCCAACACTTTGGGAGGCTGAGGCAGGTGGATCACCTGAGGTCAGAGGTTCGAGACCAGCCTGGCCAACATGGCGAAACCCCGTCTCTATTAAAAATACAAAAATTAGCTGGTGTGGTGGTGCACGCCTGTAATCCCAGCTACTTGGGAGGCTGAGGCAGGAGAATCACTTGAACCCGGGAGACAGAGGTTGCAGTGAGCCGAGATCACAACACTGCACTCCAGCCTGGGCGACAGAGCAAGACTGTCTCAAAACAACAACGACGACAAAAAGAATAAGCGTGTGGCCAAGTGCGGTGACTCACACCTGTAATCCCAGCACTTTGGGAGGCCGAGGTGGGCAGATCACGAGGTCAGGAGTTTGAGACCAGCCTGACCAACATAGTGAAACCCCATTTCTAGTAAAAATACAAAAATTAGGCAGGGTGCGGTGGCTCACGCCTGTAATCCCAGCACGTTGGGAGGTCAAGGTGGGCAGATCACGAGGTCAAGAAATCGAGGCCATCCCAGCCAGCATGGTGAAACCTCGTCTCTATGAAAAATACAAAAATTAGCTGGGCATGGTGGTGCGCGTGGTGCGCGCCTGTAGTCCCAGCTACTCGGGAGGCTGAGGCAGGAGAATCGCTTGAACCCGGTGGGTGGAGGTTGCAGTGAGCCGAGATCGTGCCACGGTACTCCATCCTGGCGACAGAAGGGGACTCCATCTCCAAAAAAAAGAGAAGAATAAACCTGTGATGCAAAGGCATAAGAATGATACCATGGGCCAGGCGCGTTGGCTCACGGCTGTAATCCCAGCACTTTGGGAGGCTGAGACAGGCGGATCACGAAGTCAGGAGATCAAGACCACCCTGGCTAACATGGTGAAACCCCGTCTCTACTAAAAATACAAAAATTAGCTGGGCGTGGTGGCGGGCGCCTGTTGTCCCAGCTATATGGGACGCTGAGGCAGGAGAATGGCGTGAACGTGGGAGGCGGAGCTTGCAGTGAGTGGAGATTGTGCCACTGCACTCCAGCCTGGGCACAGAGCGAGACTCCATCTCAAAAAAAAAAGAATGATACAATGGACTTTGCGGACTCAGAGGGAAAAGATGGGAGGGGAATGAGGGATAAAAGACTACACACTGGGGCCAGGTGCCATGGCTCACGCCTGTAATCCCAGAACTTTGGGAGGCTGAGACAGGCAGATCACATGAGGTCAGGAGTTTGAGACCAGCCTGACCAACATGGCGAAACTTCATCTCTACTAAAAATACAAATTAGTTGGGCGTGGTGGCACATCCCTGTAATCTCAGCTACTTGGGAGGCTGAGGCAGGAGAATCACTTGAATCTGGAAGGCAGAGGTTGCAGTGAGCCAAGATCATGCCTTTGCACTCCAGCCTGGACGACAAGAATAAAATTCCATCTCAAAAAACAAAATACTACACATTGGGTACAGTGTACACTGCTTGGGCGATGGGGCTGCATCAAAATCTCATAAATCACTACTAAAGAATTTATTCATGTACAAAAAATAAATTTTTAAAATTCTATATAAAATAAAATATAATAATTAAAAAAAAAAAGACTAGGCGCGGTGGCTCATGCCTGTAATCCCAGCACTTTGGGAGACTGACGCGGGCAGATCATCTGAGGTCAGGAGTTCAGGACCAGCCTGGCCAACATGGCAAAACCCTGTCTCTACAAAAATACAAAAATTAGCCGGGCATGATGGTGGGTGCCTGTAATCCCAGCTACTCGGGAGGCTGAGGCAGGATAATCGATTGAACCCGGGAGGTAGGTTTTGCAGTGAGCCGAGATCGCACCATTGCATTCCAGCCTGGGCGACAGAGCAAGACTCCATCTAAAAAAAAAAAAAAAACACCTGTGTCCCTTACCCAGGAGAGCAATGTTACAAGACAGTGGCCATGGGGATGGAGAAGAGAGGATGGAGCATGAAAATGTGTAGAATCAACAGGATATGGTGATTCATTGGATTGTGTGGGGGGGGATGGTAACGGAAAGGGAGGAGTTGAGGATGATTTCCGGAAGTGGTCAGAGTTGTAGGAGGAAAACTGGTGTCATAGTGGCAAAGGAAATAAAAGACAATTAGTCAGTAATGTCAGAGAAAGATGGAACAGCATCACCTTGATTCTGCAATTAGAAGATTATGGGTGATTTTTTCATAAGAGAGTAGAAGAACGTTTTTAGTGAGTGGAAGATTGAGCATCAAGAGGCGAGGAAGTGAAGATGGCAAATGTAGGGTCCTGGCGATCTTACAGAAATAGTATTTGGCTTTCGGTGACTAATGACGATTTCAGGGTAACACACAGTGGACTACATGCCAGCTGTTACCTGCTGGGAGAAAAGCTTGGGAGGAAAGGACATTTATTTGTGGACAGGTATTTGTGTCTGTATGAGTGCTGATCCAGGCAAGATAACTGATGTTTTTACCCATCTCCAAGGCCTCAAGGAGCATGATAGTCCTGAGGCCTAGAGCTTGCCTGCTACTGTGTAAAGCAGGCATATCCTCTTTAGGCCCATGCACCATCTATCCAGCCCTTGGTTCCTCTGGGAGGTAGGGGACCAAGCCACATATAGTAGCACTACAAAATGGGAGCTTTCATCCATGTGAATCTAGGTACCTAGAACATTCTTTATTTAGTTTTTTTTTCTTTTAATGTTATATCTTTTAAGAGACAAGGTCTTGCTCTGTCACCCACTTGAAGTGCAGAGGCACAATCATAGCCTCGAATTCCTGGGTTCAAGTGATCCTCTGCCTCAGCCTTCCAATAGCTGGGATTATAGACACAGGCCATGGTTCCTGGTTAGTACATTCTTGCATGCTATTTTATTTATTTATTTATTTATTTATTTTTTGAGATGGAGTCTCGCTCTGTCACCAGGCTGGAGTACAGTGGTGCAATCTCGACTCACTGCAACCTCTGCCTCCCAGGTTCAAGCAATTCTCCTGCCTCAGCCTCTTGAGTAGCTGGGACTACAGGCACGCGCCACCACACGCAGCTAATTTTTCTATTTCCAGTAGGGATGGGGTTTCACCATGTTGGCCAGGATGGTCTCAATCTCTTGACCTTGTGATCTGCCCACCTCGGCCTCCCAAAGTGCTAGCATTACAGGTTTGAGCCACCACACCCAACCTCTTGCATGCTATTTTATAGATGTGAGGCTGAACAATTTCATGTTTAGGACTGGAGGTACCTCCAGGAACTATAATTAAGCATTTAAAAAACATTTTCTTGGTTGGGCACAGTGGCTCACGCCTGTAATCCCAGCACTTTGGGAGGCTGAGGCGGTGGATCGTGAGGTCAGGAGATCGAGACCATCCTGGCTAACATGGTGAAACCCTGTCTCCACTAAAAATATGAAAAATTAGCTGGGTGTAGTGGCAGGCGCCTGTAATCCCAGCTACTCGGGAGGCTGAGGCAGGAGACTCTCTTGAACCTGGGAGACGGAGGTTGCAGTGAGCCGAGATTGTACCACTGCACTCCACCGTGGACTCAAAATATATATAAATATAGATATATATACAAATAGATAGAGATATATACATATATATATATATATTTTTTTTTTTTTTTCTTGTCTCTCTGGGGATACAAATACCTTAGAACAGAGCCAGGAGCAGTGGTGCAAGCTTGTAGTCCCAGCTACTTGGGAGGCTGAGGCAGGAGGATTGCTTGAGCGAAGGGAGGAAGGGAGGAAGGGAGGAAGGGAGGGAGGGAGGGAGGAAGGAAGGAAGGAAGGAAGGAAGGAAGGAAGGAAGGAAGGAAGGAAGGAAGGAAGGAGAGAGAGAAAGAAAAAGAAAGAAGGAAAAGAAAGAAAGAAAAAGAGAAAGAAAGAAAAAGAAAGAAAGACCTTAAAACATGTACATTTCTGCTGGGCGTGGTGGCTCACACCTGTAATCCCAGCACTTCGGGAGGCTGAGGTGGGCGGATCACGAGGTCAGGAGATTGAGACCATCCTGGCTAACACGGTGAAACTCTGTCTCTACTAAAAATACAAAAAATTAGCCGGGCGTGGTGACTGGCATCTGTAGTCCCAGCTACTCGGGAGGCTGAGGCAGGAGAATGGCGTGAACCCAGGAGGCAGTGGAGGTTGCAGTGAGCCGAGATCACGCCACTGCACTCCAGACTGGGCAACAGAGCAAGAATCCATCTCAAAAAAAAAAAAGAGAGAGAATGAAAGTACACTCCACAGTATGGGAGTGAGCATGAGCATAGGGGCTCAAAGGCCCTGTTACAGAATTTTTGTGAGTTTAAATACCCTCTACTTGGGGAACACCCTATGTAAATGAAGAGGATGAAGTAAAGTTACAATTACAAAGTTATTAACGATGTATGCCCTAGGGAGAGGATATTTCCTGTTACAGCTGAAGTGTGAATTGGCCTTATGTTCCCTGCCTCCAGACCCTATTTTCCTGCCTCATCTACCCCCTGAGATGTGATCTCCATCAATCTTTATGGGAGACAGAGGGACACATGATCTTTTTTCTGTAACTGCTTCATGCTGGCTTGGGGGATGGTCCCTACCTATTGGGGATCATGGAACTCTCACCCTGCTCTGTCTAGTGGAGGCAGGGTAGCTTTTTGATGGCCGGGGGTGGTGTCTTCACTTGGAACTGGCTGGAACCTTTGTTGCATGATCAGCTGAAGCCTGATGGTCTCTAGGCAAGAGGAAATGAATTTGGTTAAAACATTTAATGGGAACTGCAGGGGGTGGATACCTATGCTGTTAGAAATGTTTGTTATATCTACCAGGCACAGTGGCTCATGCCTATAATCCCAGCACTTTGGGAGGCCGAGGCGGGCAGATCACAAGGTCAGGAGATTGAGACCATCCTGGCTAACACGATGAAACCCTGTCTTTACTTAAAAAAAAAAAAAATTAGCCGGGCATGGTGGCAGGCGCCTATAGTCCCAGCTACTCAGGAGGCTGAGGCAGGAGAACAGCGTGAACCTGGGGGCCAGAGGTTGCAGTGAGCCAAGATCGTGCCACTGCACTCTAAAAAAAAAATTTTTTTTTTTTGAGACGGAGTCTCACTCTGTTGCCCAGGCTGGAGTGCAGTGGTGTGATCTCAGCTCACTGCAAGCTCCGCCTCCCGGGTTCACACCATTCTCCTGCCTCAGCCTCCCAAGTAGCTGGGACTACAGGCACACACCACCACGCCCAGCTAATTTTTGTACTTTTAGTGGAGATGAGGTTTCACCATGTTGGACAGGCTGGTCTCAAACTCCTGGCCTCAAGCAGTTCACCCACCTTGGCCTCCCAAAGTTCTGGGATTACAGCTATGAGCCACTTCACCCAGCCCTTATAATATGCAAATCTAATAGTTTTCATATATTTGGCTTTCAAATTTTCAGGAATGTATAATGTACAAAATAGAAGACTGCCTCAAGAAGAGAGAGAAAGAAAGCTGAGCAGTAGCTGAAAGAGAATGTAAGGTCTAGAAAATGGAAATTGCCACCATCCAATTCATTTATTGTAAGTGAAAATAATTGTTAATTATTGGAAATATAGTGGGACATGATGGCTTATGCCTGTAATCCCAGCACTTTGGGAGGCTGAGGCCTGAGGATCTCCTTAGACCAGGAGTTCAAGACCAGCCTGGGCAGCACAGATAAACTGTCTTTACAAAAAATAAAAAATTGACCGGGCGCGGTGGCTCAAGCCTGTAATCCCAGCACTTAGGGAGGCCGAGACGGGCGGATCACGAGGTCAGGAGATCGAGACCATCCTGGCTAACACGGTGAAACCCCGTCTCTACTAAAAATACAAAAAAAAAAAAAAAACTAGCCGGGCGAGGTGGCGGGCGCCTGTAGTCCCAGCTACTCCGGAGGCTGAGGCAGGAGAATGGCGTGAACCCGGGAGGCGGAGCTTGCAGTGAGCTGAGATCCGGCCACTGCACTCCAGACCGGGCTACAGAGCAAGACTCCGTCTCAAAAAAAAATAAAAATAAAAATAAAAAAAAAAATAAAAAATTAGTCCAGGCGCAGTGGCTCATGCCTGTAATCCCAACACTTTGGGAGACCTAAGCAGGTGGCTCACTTGAAGCCAGGAGTTCGAGACCAGCCTGACCAACATGGTGAAACCCTATCTCTACTGAAAATACAAAATTAGCTGGGTGTGGCGGTACACACCTGTAATCTCAGCTACTTGGGAGGCTGGGGCAGGGGATTCTTTGAACCTGGGAAGGTAAGATTGCAGTGAGCTGAGATCGTGGCATTGCACTCTGGCCTGGGCAACAAGACCAAAACTCCGTCTCAAAAAAAAAAGGAAAAAACAGAAAACAAATTAATGGGCATGGTGGCGTGTGCCTGTGGTCCCAGCTACAGCTACTGGGGAGGCTGAGGTGGGAGATCACTTGAGCCTGGGACGGTGGAGGCTGCAATGAACAGTGCTCGTGCCACTGCACTCCAACCTGGGTGACAGAGTAGGACCCTGTCTCCATAAAAAAGGAAATGTGGGCCGGGCGCGGTGGCTCAAGCCTGTAATCCCAGCACTTTGGGAGGCCGAGACGGGCGGATCACAAGGTCAAGGAGATCGAGACCATCCTGGCTAACACGGTGAAACCCTGTCTCTACAAAAAAATACAAAAAACTAGCCGGGCGAGGTGGCGGGCGCCTGTAGTCCCAGCTACTGGGGAGGCTGAGGCAGGAGAATGGCGTAAACCTGGGAGGCGGAGCTTGCAGTGAGCCGAGATCCGACCACTACACTCCACCCTGGGCGACAAAACAAGACTCTGTCTCAAAAAAAAAAAAAAAAAAAAAAAGGAAATGTGGCCTACCACTAGCTGAGTGTCTTGTACAGAAGAATGGAGGTGAAGAGAAGGATGGAATCTATATAACAGAACAGGCAGGAAGTCGACTGTTGGTGCCGTGCTGACAGAAGCTCAACTCCTTTCCTTCTGCCTGCTCTGCTGCCTGCCCCGCTCTACGATAGAAAGTGAATGGGTTTCCAATCTACAAGGATTTGGGAGGTGAAGAAAGGAAGCTGCTTTGTCTTCAAGTTTGGTGGGAGTGAAACAAAAAGAACAACGAACAGGGCAAGAAGTCCTGGAACATAGGTTTTGTGCCAGATGTGCTGGAACATGTGTGGTGGCACCAAGAACTCCAGGGCTGTATGAATCACATCTAGTAATTCACTCAGCAGCCACTATACACCTATAAGCAGGTGTGAGACAGTTTTCTAATCCTGCTACTCCCTCCTGCAACCTTTTCTGCAACCCTCAAACCTCAGTGCTCACAGTTCCACAGGGGAAGCTGCAGGAGTTCCGCAGAGGGGCGGACTCCTTCTGAAATATTTCACCTAGAGCTCCCAGCACTAGGCCCAGTCATCCCGAGCATGCTGACTGTTCATTTATCAGTCAATAAACTGTTAGGTTCATGCTACGAGGAAAGATAGTTAAGATAGTTACATTACTTCCGTAGAAGGCAAAGATAAATTCCTTAAGCACAGGTTCAAAGGGCGCATGCGTAAACGCTACGCAACAGCAGTGATGAACGTTACTGCCATCCAGGCACGACACAGACCAATCCGCCTCGGGGTGCAGCTTACCCTCTCAGAACAAGCCCGCGGCACCCGACGCCCCTCCCCTTTTCCTCCGGCCTTCCCTGACGGAAGCGGAAGCGGCGCTCGCGCACACTAGTGGTCTAGTTCCCTGGCTCCGGAAGCCGCCCTCCTTCACCCTCCTCGTTGGTCTCCTGTCACCATGGCGCTGGCTGTCTTGCGGGTCCTGGAGCCCTTTCCGACCGAGACACCCCCGTTGGCAGTGCTGCTGCCGCCCGGGGGCCCGTGGCCGGCGGCGGGGCTGGGCCTGGTGCTGGCCCTGAGGCCTGCAGGGGAGAGCCCGGCAGGGCCGGCGCTGCTGGTGGCAGCCCTGGAGGGGCCGGGCGCGGGCACCGAAGAGCAGGGTCCCGGGCCCCCGCAGCTCCTGGTTAGCCGCGCGCTCCTGCGGCTCCTGGCACTAGGCTCCGGGGCCTGGGTGCGGGCGCGGCCGGTGCGGCGGCCCCCAGCGCTAGGCTGGGCACTGCTTGGCACCTCTGTGGGGCCTGGGCTCGGACCACGAGTCGGGCCGCTGCTGGTGAGGCGCGGAGAGACCCTCCCAGTGCCCGGACCGCGGGTGCTGGAGACGCGGCCGGCGTTGCAAGGGCTGCTAGGCCCAGGGACTCGGCTGGCTGTGACTGAGCTCCGCGGGCGGGCCAGACTGTGCCCAGAGTCTGGGGACAGCAGTCGGCCCCCACCCCCGCCCGTGGTGTCCTCCTTTGCGGTTTCTGGCACAGTCCGGCGACTGCAGGGAGTTCTGGGAGGGACTGGAGATTCACTAGGGGTGAGCCGGAGCTGTCTCCGTGGCCTTGGCCTCTTCCAGGGCGAATGGGTGTGGGTGGCCCGGGCCGGAGAGTCATCGAACACTTCACGGCCGCATTTGGCCAGGGTGCAGGTCCTAGAACCTCGCTGGGACCTCTCTGATAGACTGGGACCCGGCTCTGGGCAGCTGGGAGAGCCCCTCGCTGACGGACTGGCGCTCGTCCCTGCCACTTTGGCTTTTAATCTTGGCTGTGACCCCCTGGAAGTGGGAGAGCTCAGAATTCAGGTAGGATAAAGGACTGAGGTCAAAAGTGCTTCCTCTCCCTTATACCCTCTTCTGTGTCTTAGGTGAATTGGAAGACTAGAGCCGTAGCATTTAGGACTCGTGCTCCATATTATCCCGGACTTTGAACATAATGTTTCTAGCCAGGCGCGGTGGCTCACGCCTGTAATCCCAGCACTTTGGAAGGCCGAGGCCAGCGGATCACTTGAGGTCAGGAGTTCGAGACCAGCCTGACCAACATGGAGAAACCCCGTCTCTATAAAAATATATATAATTAGCCGGGCGTGGTGGCACATGCGTCTAATCCCAGCTACTCGGGAGGCTGAGGCAGGAGAATCACTTGAACCCGGGAGGCAGAGCTTGCTGTGAGCCCAGATCGCGCCATTGCACTCCAGCCTGGGCAATAAGAGTGAAACTCCGTCTCAAAAATAATAATAATGATAATGTTTCTTAGCCTCATTTATCTATTTTCTTTTTCTTTCTTTCTTTTCTTTCTTTTTTTTGAGATGGAGTCTTGCTCTGTCGCCCAGGCTGGAGTGCAGTGACGCAATCTCGGCTCACTGCAACCTCCGCCTCCCGGGTTCAAGCGATTCTCCTGCCTCAGCCTCCCGAGTAGCTGGGACTACTGGCTCGCGCCACGACGCCGGCTAATTTTTGTAAGTTTTAGTAGAGACGGGGTTTCACCGTATTGGTCAGGCTGGTCTGGAACTCCTGACCTCAGGTGATCCACTCAAAAGTGTTGGGATTACAGGTGTGAGCCACCGCACCAGGCCTGTTTATGCATTTTCTATAATCAAAATATCATAAGCCTCCACAATGTAGTGGGGCATACGAAAGGCTTTCATTCATTCAGGTGAAAGGTGAGGTTTGGGTGTGGTGGTGCATGCCTGTAATCCCAGCTACTTGGGAGGCTGAGGCAGGAGAATTGTTTGAATCTGGGAGGCGGAGGTTGCAGTGAGCCCACATCACACCACTGCACTCCAGCCTGGACGACAGAGCGAAAATTCTGCGTCAAAATTTAAAAAAAAGTGAGGTTTCAGGTGTGTATGTTAATCTACTCAATCTTATTAGTTTATTGAACTGTTACAATGTATTAGGTATTGTGCTTTATAATATGGAGAATGATGTCTCTGCTTTTGCTCCTGCTTATCCTTGACTTCAAATTGTTTCCTATTATTCCAGCCTCATCTGTTAAAATCCTACCCTTCTTTCCCTCAAGAGCCATCTGAAGATGATACCTTTGTCACAAAGCCTTTCATGATCTCGCAGTCACAAATTTAGCACTTCCTCCTATAGCATTTTCTATCTTTTTTATGGCATTTATTTTATTCTTTCTTGTTATGATTACATAATCTGTCTAATCCCCAATTATATATTGTAAATACCTTGAAGGAAAGGAGTCTTTATTATCTTTGGTGCCTGGTATTTAATTTTAATATTTTATTAAATACATCCAAGGGAAGTTTTTGGTTTCTGCCTTTACTTCAAGAAGAAAGTTGTAGAACAGATAATAGTTGTTCCATTTTCATAGGTTACTGAGTAAGGAGGCACCAGTTCACCATAACAGACATAAAAGTGACAAAAAAATAAACCTTCATTGTGTGAAAAAAAAGGCAGCTAGGCGCAGTGGCTCATGCCTGTAATCCTAGCACTTTGGGAGGCTGAGCCAGGCAGATCACTTGAGGTCAGGAGTTCCAGACCAGCCTGGCCAACATGGTGAAACCTTGTCTCTACTAAAAATACAAAAATCAGCCCAGTATGGTGGTGCACACCAGTAAACCCAACTACTGGGGAGGCTGAAACAGGAGAATTGCTTGAACTTGGGAGGTGGTGGCTGCAGTGAACCCAGATCACACCACTGCACTCCAGCCTGGGTGACAGAGCAAGACTCTGTCTCAAAAAAAGAAAAAATGAAAGTTGAGTTTAGGGGGACAAATACAGTAGTGTTCAGTTAAGGACCTAGATATATGGTTTAGATGGTGCTGTCCAATATGGAAGCCACCAGCCACTTTGTGGCTTTTTAAATTTAAATTAGCTAAAACTAAATAAAGTAAGCTTGGCCAACATGGCGAAACCCCATCTCTATTTTAAAAAATACAAAAATTAAATCCCAGCACTTTGGGAGGCCGAGGAGGGTAGATCACAAGGTCAGGAAATCGAGACCATCCTGGCTAACACGGTGAAACCCCATCTCTACTAAAAATACAAAAAAAAAATTAGCCGAATGTGGTGGCACATGCCTGTAGTCCCAGCTACTCGGGAGGCTGAGGCAGGAGAATCCCTTGAACCCGGGAGGTGGAGGTTGCAGTGAGCCGAGATCGTGCTGCTGCACTCCAGCCTGGATGACAAGCGAGACTCCGTTTCAAAAAACAAAAAACCCACAAAATTTAGCCCAGCATGGTGGTATGCACGCCTATAGTCCCAGCTACTCAGGAGGCTGAGGCACAAGGAGAATCATTTGAACCCAGGAGGCAGAGGTTGCAGTGAGCCAAGACTGTGCCACTGCACTTCATCATGGGCAACAAAGCAAAAGTTTCAGAAAAAAGAGAAAAAACAAAACTAAAATCCAGGCCGGGCGCGGTGGCTCAAGCCTGTAATCCCAGCACTTTGGGAGGCCGAGATGGGCGGATCACGAGGTCAGGAGATCAAGACCATCCTGGCTAACACAGTGAAACCCCGTCTCTACTAAAAAATACAAAAACCTAGCCGGGCGAGGTGGCGGGCGCCTGTAGTCCCAGCTACTCGGGAGGCTGAGGCAGGAGAATGGCGTGAACCCGGGAGGCGGAGCCTGCAGTGAGCCGAGATCCGGCCACTGTACTCCAGCCTGGGCGGCAGAGCGAGACTCCGTCTCAAAAAAAAAAAAAAAAAAAAAAAAAAAAGCTCATCCAGTTTTTAGTTGCTTTGGCTCTACATCTAAAAAAAAAAAAAAAAAAAAAAAAAAAAAAAAAAAAAAAACTAAAATCCAGTTTTTTAGTTGCTTTAGCTACATTTCTTTGTTTTTGTTTGTTTGTTTTGTTTTGTTTTATCTTTTTAGCCACATTTCAAGTGCTCAATAGCACATGCAGATATAGACCATTCCATTGTAGAGAGTTCTACTGGGAAATACTAGAGCAGCCAGTTAATACTATGGGATGTCAGGTAGAGATACAAGATACATGTGAAAGGGAGTGGATGTAGGTTTCCTCCTGAATGGAGGAAAAACTACTGGAGTACTCAAGAGTAGGGCTCATTGAACCAACCAACCACTGAACCAACACTTTCAGCTTTTCCCACAGCCTGAATTCAGAGGTTCCCCACTAATGACCACTTAATGTTAATCCCAGTGGGTGCCTGGTGTCACTCATAGGTCTTGTGGGAATAAATGTCTTTACCATTTCACAGGCTCTGGGCCAAGTTAAAGGTGTCACAGAAAGGTTATCTTTACCGAGAAAATTTTTTGGAGCCAGAGTGGGGATAGGAGGTGACATTCCCTTCCTGGTACCCATTAGACGGAGAGGTTTTCAGGTCTGCTACCTCAGGTGCCACCTTCCACAAGCCTTGTGGTTATGGGAAAGACAGGATGGAAATAGACATGTTGGCTGCTAAGAGACAGGTTAGAGCCTGCCCCCTTAGGAGAAGGTTATAACGTGGCGGTTATTTCTCTAATAGAGGTATTTGGAAGGCTCCATTGCCCCTGAAGACAAAGGAAGCTGCTCATTGCTGCCTGGGCCTCCATTTGCCAGAGAGTTATACATCGAAATTGTGTCTTCTCCCCACTACAGCACTAATGGAAATTATGATGGTGTTCTTTACCGGCACTTTCAGATACCCAGGTTAGCTACCTAAGCTTTTAAGGAGGATAGCATCTCACCCTCATCACATTCCTCCTATCCCATGCCTTAGCATCAGGTACCCCAGAGGCCCTGGTTAAAAGAAGCCACATTTGTGGCCGGGCACTATGGCTTACGCCTGTAATCCCAGCACTTTGGGAGGCCGAGGCGGGTGGATCATGAGGTCAGGAGACTGAGACCATCCTGGGGTTTAGTAGAGACCAAACCCCGTCTCTAATAAAAATACAAAACTAAAATTAGCGGGGCATGGTGGCGGGCGCCTATAGTCCCAGCTGCTCAGGAGGCTGAGGCAGGAGAATGATGTGAACCCAGTAGGCAGAGCTTGCAGTGAGCCGAGATCGCGCCATTGCACTCCAGCCTGGGTAACAGAGTGAGACTCCATCTCAAAAAAAAAAAAAAAAAAAAAAAGAAGCCACATTTTAGATTGTGGTAGGTGCCTCTTGGTATATCAGGGAGACCACAGAAGAGAAATCTGAACCATGAGGTTAATTTGGACATTCCAAACAGAGACACCTTTGATCAAAGAGGGCTCTAAAAGAGCCAGGATCCTGCTCTGCCTCTCATCTGTCTCTGATCCCCCTTTCTAGTCTCTCCACCATTTCCCCTAGCTCATCCTAAGTCTGACTTGTTCCTTGGAGAACTGCGTGGGATCTCTGGGTGGGCAGTAGATCTCTGGGTGGAAGTAGTCTGCATGTTGGGGGTGGGCTTGTGGTAATGAACACATGCTCATTACTCCCATTGTGACCTGACCAGGGCCACTGCTGTGTTGCAGGGTAGTCCAGGAAGGGGATGTTCTGTGTGTGCCAACAATTGGGCAAGTAGAGATCCTGGAAGGAAGTCCAGAGAAACTGCCCAGGTATGCAGCTGCCTTCTGTCCTATAGCTGGGATTTGTAACCTTGTTGCATGGGTTCTACAATCCCTTCCCTGCAAATCATATGTAATTTGTGCCCAAGAGGATTTTGTTGTCATGTACTGTGTGTATGTGTGTGTGTGTAACAGGATCTTGCTCTGTCACCCAGGCTGGAGTTTAGTGGTGCAAACACAGCTCACTGCAGCCTCTACCTCCATGGCTCAAGTGATTCTCCCACCTCAGCACTGCCCCTGCCATAGTAGCTGGGACTACAGGTTCGCATTATCACGACCAGCTATTGGTTTTTGTATTTTTAGTAGAGATAGGGTTTCGCCATGTTGCCCAGGCTGGTCTCGCACTCTTGAGCTCAAGTGATCTGCCTGCCTTGGCCTCCCAAAGTGCTGAGATTACAGTTGTGCGCAACTCACCCCAAGTCTGTGTACATTTTTTTGGAGAGAAAATTCACCAGTCCTTCAGTTCCCAAACAAGTGTATGACTGAAGAAAGGTTAAGAACTGGTCAGGCATGGTGGCGCATACTTGTAATCCCAGCTACTCGAGAGGCTGGGCAATATAGCTAGACACTGTCTCAAAAAACAACCAAACAAAAAGAACCCTCACTGCTGGCTTTGGGAGGTGTTTATCCTCAAACTGACTGGTGGCCCTATGTAAAGCAAAGCACTAAGAAGAGTTTAGGCCAGGCGTGGTGGCTCACACCTGTAATCCCAGCACTTTGGGATGCTGAGGTGGGCAGATCACTTGAGGTCAGGAGTTCAACACCAGCCTGGCCAACATGGTGAAACCCTGTCTCTACTAAAAATACAAAAATTAGCTAGGTGTGATGGTGGACATCTATAATCCCAGCTACTCAGGAGGCTGAGGCGGGAGAATCACTTGAACCTGGGGGGCGGAGGTTGCAGTGAGCCCAGATCGTGTCACTGAATTCCAGCCTGGGTAACACAGCAAGACCATCTTATTTATTTATTTATTTATTTATTTATTTATTTATTTATTTTAAAGAAGAGTTTAATGGCCTAGACCAAGACGGGATTCCTTCCTTTCCATTCTCAGCCTTGGTGTTGTTTGGACCAAGACTTGGGTCATACCATCCATATCTCAACATAAGGATATACAGGCTCTGATTTCTGCCTTAACTATGGAGTGTGCACAAGCTACTTCTCAGTCCTATCTCTGAAAACGGGAAAGGGGGATTTCTATTGTTTTTGAGAGGGCTACCCTTTCCTATCAACAGAGAATGAGAAATAGAGCATAACCGAGCCAAGAACCCAAAATAAGGAATCCAACTTTTCTCCTGCTGTTGACTCTGACCACAGAGGTTCCATGTAAAATGTTGAGGCAAAGATTTGAGACACTGCTTTAGCCTTATGCATAGGGAGGAAAATGTGTAGCCCTGTATCCCAGCATCCCCTGTATTCTGAACTCATTTCCTGTAGCAGTTTACTAGGAGAGCACAACTGATAGATGCACTAACCCATGCATAACAGCCTTCATGTCCAAGGTCTGTGGCATAGCCAGCCTGGGTCCTCTGCCAGGAGAGAGAGTCCTTGTCTGGAGTGCCTGATTCATCCCTGGTCAATATCCAGGGCTTGGTTCTGGCCACTGCTCAGTACCCCCAATCTCAGAGTGGTGGTGCCCCGTGTAACCCCATTAGGCTCCATGTCACCTCTTCAAGGTTTTCCAGATTAAGTACACAACGAGTCTGGTGGAAAATGCCAGGCTGGCACTTAGCAGTCACTTCCCACCTCTATCTCCTGTCTTAAATTTAGCAAACGTCTTTGAGCTAGCTTTCAGTAGGAAAACTACAGAATGCCCACTCTTTGTACTTTCAAAGGAAAATAGACACTAGAACCTCATGAGACAGGCTGGCAAGCCAGTTCTCTATTGTCTCAACTCTGTAGAACCCTGCTTTCCTCCTGAGTGCTGAGCACATAGTTCTTTCCCCCGCAAGGAAAGCAAGGAAACCAATGGGTCCAAGGACAGATACAGGTGAGCATTTTAAGCTGCACTGGGCTTGAGAAGGGAAGCCCTGCAGAAGTTCCTGTGAGCCCTGCAAAGGAATTCCACTGTTGGTGGTGTAGCCTCTCTATCCTTTCCCTGGTGCTCCACTTCCCCAAAGCAGGCTGCATGGGAGCCAGCTCTACTATCACCTATCTGGCTAGCTGGAGCACAGCCCAGTGTTCCTTAGCAGTGTCCACATAGGGTCCAGAGCTCTGGCCTTTCTATTCACTGAGGTGGTCCAACCACCCTCCACTGAGGAAGGTAGTGTCTCCCTACGCCACAGTGCTGTCCCCCATCTCATTCCCATGCAGGGCTTCCATGTTGAGTCATACACACTATGACTCAGCTGTTGAACTTGATCGAGATCCTAGGTTAGAGGCCCACTGTCATCTATTTATAATTAATTATAGGCAGATTCAGGCTTCCTGATGTTCTAGGTTTACTATAGTACGTAGAAGAGTTTCATAATACTAACCTGGTATGATTCCCTCTCCACCTTGCTGTACTCTCACACCCCTTTGCTGCTAGAGAGAGCAGCTTGGAGACTGGGGGGCAGTGTGAGCAGAGGAATTTGCAGCCTGATTAGATCTTAAAGAGGACTAGGTTATAGCCTGGCTCTGTCGTTGCCTTGCTGCCCGAGGATTAAAGAGGGAAGTAGTTCATCATTTCTTTATCTGGAAAATTGGGTTAGTAGCTGTTCCTGCTACCCATCCTCTTCCCTGTTAGTAGGTTGAATAACCCTAACTCACTATGATACTCGCCAACGACTGCACAGCCCTGGTTTTGCATCAGAATTGCTGGGGAAGCTTTCAAAAAATACAGGTGCCTAAGCCCCACCCCATATCTATTGGAGCAGAATCAGGGTGAGGCTAGAGCCTGTGCTTTTTTTCTTCACAAAGGAAGGAGAAAGGTTAATTTTAAAAACAGATAAAATTCACACACCATAATACCATGCTTTTAAAGTATATAATTCAATTTTTTAATTCATAAGGTTGTACAACCAACAAACATCACTCTTTAATTCCAGAACATTTTCAACACCTTAAAAAGAAACTCTGCACCCATTACCAGTCATTCCCTATAGCTTCCCTCCTAGCCAATGGCAACTGCTGTTCTACTGAATGGAATCACATAATATGTGAGAAATGTTTAGTTTTTAAAGTTACACAGATAATTCTAGTGTGCAGCCAGAATACAGAACCGTTATTCATCAGATGGCATTATTAAGGACTCTACCTGCAATGACATTTTGTGGATTATTGAATAAGAGCCAAGGGACCCTTCCCCCTGGGGTTTTTGGGGCCTGGGTGGCTGTGTATTTGAGGGGGAGACTGAAGCCAGTGGAAATAATCAGATGATCCACTGCTTAGTGCAGCAGCGGCTTCTCCCATTGGTGTGGGTGGGTAGGCCACATGCCTGGAGAAACACACCCCCTCAGAGCTCTCATGGGTGTCATGGGGGATGCAGAGGGACAGGCATAGCTCTTGCCCTCAAGGTGTGTATGGTCTGTCAGGAAGAGGAGAAAGTCCATCTGCATTCCTTTTCCCTACCATGACTCGGGACACGTACTTGTGGTGCTCTTGTTTGTCCTCTGTGATTGAGAAACCTTGTCCTTGAGGAGGGGGCGTTTTTGGACTCTGCGTCTGGGGTTCATTGCGCCTTTTTCCTGCAGGTGGCGGGAAATGTTTTTTAAAGTGAAGAAAACAGCTGGGGAAGCTCCAGATGGGCCAGCCAGCGCCTACTTGGCCGACACCACTCATACCTCCTTGTACATGGTGAGGCCCCAGGGATGGGTGTAGACCAGCACAGGGGGTAGAAACAATTTTTAGAAATGAAAGCTTTTTCCTACCTTTCACAGGTGGGTTCTACCCTGAGCCCTGTTCCATGGCTTCCTTCAGAGAAATCCACTCTCTGGAGCAGTTTGTCTCCTCCAGGCTTGGAGGCCTTGGTGTCTGAACTCTGTGCTGTCCTGAAGCCTCGCCTCCAGCCAGGGTGAGTGAGGTCATCACCCCAGGGTGTGAGAAAAGCCTGGCTAGAACATCCCTGGAGGAGCAGCAGCCAAATGGGTAGTTCCTAATGAACTGGACAGAGTGGGATTGGGAGTACCTTCCTCAAACCAGTATGTCCAGACCAGGCCACCAGCCCACTCCTTTCTGTAAGCCAGTTCCCACGCTCCTTTCCTGGGATAACCTCTGTCCTCCAGGACTGGCTCTGGAGGAAGAATCTCCAGCAGGGGCATCTGTTTCTGAAACTGCCTTTCCCCTTGGGGAGCTCACTAGCAATCCTGGACTTTACTGCCCTGGCCCTGAAGGACACAACTCCCCATATCAGTGGCCCAGGTGTGGACGCAGACACCCCCACCCCTGCCAATGCCTGAAGGACACAACTCCCCATATCAGTGGCCCAGGTGTGGACGCAGACGCCATGAGCCGCTTCCACACCCCACAGGCAATGCCTGAGACTGGCTTTCCAGTGTGGGTGTGGGCCTTGAACCTGCATATCCATTTACAATGCCTCTCAGTACCATTCAGACCAGTCACAACAGTTTGAGGTTTTGTGCTTTGCAGCAATGCCAAAGGGAGTGTTAGTCTTTGGCTGTTGGATATGCTGTGAAGGACACAACTCCCCATATCAGTGGCCCAGGTGTGGACGCAGACCGCCCCCCGCCCCCCCTGACAATGCCTGAAGGACACAACTCCCTATACCAGTGGCCCAGGTGTGGACGCAGACCCCCAACCGCCGCCAGTGCCACCACAATGCCTCTCAGTACCATTCAGACCAGTCATAACAGTTGAGGTTTTATTGGCAGCACAGCAATGCCAAAGGGAATTAATTAGTCTTTGGCTGTTGGATATGCTGGATGCCCCGGCCAGAGCACCATAGGTGATGTGGGAGACACAGCCTCACTACATGGCAACAGCCCTGGCCTGGGGTAGGCGAGGCTCAAGGAGAGAAAAACAGGGTATCTGCTTTATAGATTCAAAGGACCCTGTGTTACTGGGGACTCTAAAGTTTGGGCAAAATGAAGGAGATGAATGTTCTCTGGTTGCAGGGGTGCCCTGCTGACAGGAACTAGCAGTGTCCTTCTACGGGGGCCCCCGGGCTGTGGGAAGACCACAGTAGTTGCTGCTGCCTGTAGTCAACTTGGGCTCCATTTACTGAAGGTGAGGGTCTCTGGAGAGTAGAATCCCAACTACTTCCCCTCCCTAGCTCATGTTCTCCTTCTCTGCTGCTTCCTCTCCACTCCCTCCTCTGTCTACTCACAGACCCTAACACTTCAGCCCAGTGGGTCAGGTATAGTCCCATGATGCTCAGCTACAGAGGGGTACTTTCAAGAAGGAGGGGGTTGCAAGGTAGTGGTGGACAGTCCAGGGAATGGGATAGGGTAAAAAAGACGTAGGACTTGGCCAGGGTATCTTCCCCATCCCTGCCCTCCAGAGAAAAAGATGGCTCACATCTTCCAACTCCTCCTCCCCTTATTCTCCTGCCTTTGTCATGCTTGCCCCTTGCTCACAGACCCATTGGGATCCCCTCCCCAGGTGCCCTGCTCCAGCCTCTGCGCAGACAGTAGTGGGGCTGTGGAGACAAAACTGCAGGCCATCTTCTCCCGGGCCCGCCGCTGCCGGCCTGCAGTGCTGTTGCTCACAGCCGTGGACCTTCTGGGCCGGGACCGCGATGGGCTGGGTGAGGATGCCCGTGTGGTGGCTGCGCTGCGTCACCTCCTCCTTGATGAGGACCCCCTCAACAGGTATTTATACAGAGCTGGGCCTGTCAAAACGAGGAGGCTGGCCAGACGTGGTGGCTCACGCCTGTAATCCCAGCACTTTGGGAGGCCAAGGTGGGTGGATCACCTGAGGTCAGAAGTTCGAGACCAACCTGGCCAACATGATGAAACCCCGTCTCTACTAAAAACACAAAAATTAAGTCGGATGCGGTGGCTCACGCCTGTAATCCCAGCACTTTGGGAGGCCAAGGCGGGCGGATCACAAGGTCAGGAGATCAAGACCAGCCTGGCTAACATGGTGAAACCCCATCTCTACTAAAAATACAAAAAAAAAAAAAATTAGCTGGGCGTGATGGCAGGCGCCTGTAGTCCCAGCTACTGGGAGGCTGAGGCAGGAGAATGGCGTGAACCTGGGAGGCAGAGCTTGCAGTGAGCCGAGATCGCGCCACTGCACTTCAGCCTGGGCAACGGAGTGAGACTCCTTCATACACACACACACACAAAATACAAAAATTAGCAGGGCGTGGTGGCAGGCGCCTATAATCCAAGCTACTTGGGAGACTGAGGCAGGGGAATTGCTTGAGCCCAGGAGGTGGAGGTTGCAGTGAGCCAAAATTGCACCATTGCACTCCAGCCTGGGCAACAAGAGCAAGACTCAGTCTTAAAAAAAAAAAAAGAAAAACAAAAACGGGGGCAGGGGGAGCAGCCCTCCTACTTTTCAGCCTTTCATTCCTCCCTTCTCTCACCCCTCAGTGACTTCTCAGTCATCTAGCACCCATTTGGCTGCCCTCTAGACAGCCCTGAGCTCAGTGTCTTAGAGGGATCCAGAGGGAGGAATCTGTGGTCTAGCATTTATTGGGGAACAGTTGGTTAAAGAAAAAGCCTCTGCCCTCAATGTGATGGGGAAACACAGTTCCCCCATCTAGGAACTGGGGTAGGTGCTCATCTCCCTACCCCATCCTAGCACCCACCTCACTTCCCTGCCGTTCTGTGCTGACTTTGGGACAAGGCAGTCCACAGGAGCTGTCAACCACATTCTTACCCCCAGTACACTCCTCTGTCTGCAGCTGCCCTCCCCTCATGGTTGTGGCCACCACAAGCTGGGCCCAAGACTTGCCTGCTGATGTGCAGACAGCATTTCCTCATGAGCTGGAGGTGCCTGCTCTATCAGAGGGGCAGCGGTTCAGCATCCTGCGGGCCCTCACTGCCCATCTTCCCCTGGGCCAGGAGGTGAACTTGGCACAGCTAGCACGGCGGTGTGCAGTGAGTATCAAGGCAGAGTACTGGCCCTCCCTAGGAGGTCCCTGGCTTTTGTTACAAGAACTCAGTCCTGTTGCCTTGTGAGTGAGAATAGAAAACCCAGGCTGGGCGCCGTGGCTCACGCCTGTAATCCTAGGACTTTGGGAGGCCGAGGTGGGCAGATCACCTGAGGTTGGGAGTTCGAGACCAGCCTGGCCAACATGGAGAAACCCCGTCTCTACTAAAAATACAAAATTAGCCAGGAGTGGTGGTGCATGCCTATCCCAGCTACTCGGGAGACTGAGACGGGAGAATCGCTTCAACCCAGATGGAGGTTGCGGTGAGCCGAGATCTTGCCACTGCACTCCAGCCTAAGCAACAAGAGCAAAACTCCATCTCAAAAAAAAAAAAAAAAAAAAACCTAAGGCATCAACAGAGGGCCTCTGCTCCAACTGCTCCAACTGGGGGATGGTCCCTGAAGGTTCCTACCTACTGTGCCCTGCTCATGTGGCCTTTCCTGTGGTTCCCTAGGGCTTTGTGGTAGGGGATCTCTATGCTCTTCTGACCCACAGCAGCCGGGCAGCCTGCACCAGGATCAAGAACTTAGGGTAAGAGGAGTTGGGCACAGGAAAGGCAGAAAGAGGAAATGGATGTAGATGGGTGGGTGGTGAGGAAGGGAATGGGATGTTGGTGGGGAGGAGGCCTCCATGTGTTTTTCTTTGCAGTTTGGCAGGTGGCTTGACTGAGGAGGATGAGGGGGAGCTGTGTGCTGCTGGCTTTCCCCTCCTGGCTGAGGACTTTGGGCAGGCACTGGAGCTACAACAGACAGCTCACTCCCAGGCTGTTGGAGCCCCCAAGGTGGAGACCAAGTCCTTGGAGGTGGGACAGGAGCCCCTCCAAGAGCATATCCCAACCATGCACTTTCCATCTCTTAGATCCCCTCAGTGTCCTGGCATGATGTAGGTGGGCTGCAGGAGGTGAAGAAGGAGATCCTGGAGACCATTCAGCTCCCCCTGGAGCACCCTGAGCTACTGAGCCTGGGCCTAAGACGCTCAGGCCTTCTGCTCCATGGGCCCCCTGGCACCGGCAAGACCCTCCTGGCCAAGGCAGTAGCCACTGAGTGCAGCCTTACCTTCCTCAGGTGGCCAGGGGGCCTGGAAGGGATGGCGGGTGGATCAGGGGCTGCAGCATGCTGGGGAGCAGGAGGGGCTGCCCGAGAGGTCAGTTGTATGTATGTGCATCTGACGGGTCTCACCTTCTTACATCCTCTCACTCAGCGTGAAGGGGCCAGAGCTCATTAACATGTATGTGGGCCAAAGTGAGGAGAATGTGCGGGAAGGTGAGTGAGCAGGGAGGGGCAGGGCTTCCCATGCTTCCCAAATCCTGATGGCCCCCGAGCCACCCCCACTGCCAGGCTACTCATGGTCATTCCTAGTCCTCCTTTCCACAAGTCATGTTCCTGCCCAGCTGGGTCTAGTACCTGGGGTGCCAGTGCTATATTGTCAGACCCCAGTTTCCCTCCCTGCTCTTGCCTAACTTCAACCCCCTGCAAGTCGAGCTTCACCCTCCTGTGGGCCCCAATCTCTCTTCAGTGTTTGCCAGGGCCAGGGCTGCAGCTCCGTGCATTATCTTCTTTGATGAACTGGACTCTTTGGCCCCAAGCCGGGGGCGAAGTGGAGATTCTGGAGGAGTGATGGACAGGTGTTGGTCTGAGTGGGAATGGAGGCTGGGGGGTCCAGGGTGGAAAGGAGATGAGAAAGCTCACAGCAGTCTTCAAGAGTCCAGAGATAGAAGTTCCTGCTGTTTCAGTTCTGAGGTAATATAATGGAAGCTGAAAGGGGCCATGAAATTGGGCAGGGGCCACTGAGGAGAATGGGGGCCTACCTGGAGGGGCACACTGGGCACAGCTGAGTGGAGGGCCCTGATGAGACTGCCTGTAAGGAGAGGTACCACAGGCAGGGGCAGAGTCTAAGGGGGACACCAAGGACTCTTGCCCTTGCTCCCTTCACTCCAGGGTAGTGTCTCAGCTCCTTGCCGAGCTGGATGGGCTGCACAGCACTCAGGATGTGTTTGTGATCGGAGCCACCAACAGACCAGATCTCCTGGACCCTGCCCTTCTGCGGCCTGGCAGGTGGTCCCCTTGTACTGCTTACCTCCACCTTCATTCTGTGCCTCCACCCCTCATGGCTGGGCTCCCTGAAACTTATACCTGCCTATCTCCCTAAAGATTTGACAAGCTGGTGTTTGTGGGGGCAAACGAGGACCGGGCCTCCCAGCTACGTGTTCTGAGTGCCATCACACGCAAGTATGCCCTGTTAAAAGAAGACTGCAAAGGGCTTGCGCCTTGGGATGCTTAGGGGATGCATGCAACATGCAGAATGAGCTGGTCAGCACTGGCTTTTGAGGGAGGAGGTGATGCCAACTCTGTTTCTTCCCGTATCCCACAACAGATTCAAGCTAGAGCCATCTGTGAGCCTGGTAAACGTGCTAGATTGCTGCCCTCCCCAGCTGACAGGTGCGGACCTCTACTCTCTCTGCTCTGATGCCATGACAGCTGCCCTCAAACGCAGGGTTCATGACCTGGAGGAAGGTGAGCCACTTGCCGGCCTGAGAGGTCAACCAGAAAGCCAGTGGGGAGCTGGGTGCACCTGAGTCCCAGCTACTTGAGAAGCTGAGGTAGGAGGATCGCTTGAGCCCAGGAGTTTGAGGCCAGCCTGGACAACACAGAGAGACCTCATCTCAAAAAAAAAAAAAAATGTTTAAGGAAAAGAAAACGAGTGGGAGACAAACCTAGTCCTGGATTTCAGAGGGAAGATCACTGACATCTAGGAGACCCTGAGCAGGAAGGCACCATCCCAGGGCTCTCCCCTGCCTGGGCATAGACCACAGCCTCTGTTCCCTAGCCGGGATGGGGAATCTGGCCTCACCTCCCACCTTGTCATCTCCAGGGCTGGAGCCAGGGAGCTCAGCACTGATGCTTACCATGGAGGACCTGCTGCAGGCTGCCGCCCGGCTGCAACCATCAGTCAGTGAACAGGAGCTGCTCCGGTACAAGCGCATCCAGCACAAGTTTGCTGCCTGCTAGGAGCCCCCCAGGGCCTGGGACCCCACTCAGCATGGCTGCAGGTACCTCGATAGCCCACAGAGAGATCTGGGAGGGAAGGGCTCCTCCTCAGGCTGCTGCCAACCCACCTGGAGGCCACCTCCCTCCAGGAGATCCTGGGGTGCAAAGTGGCATTGGGACAGCAGCAAGAGCTCAAGAGACATCTCCTGCCTACTTGCCCCTCCTTCCAGGCTGGCTTTAAGAGGAAGGCCCATCTGCTCAGGAGGAGGGCCAGGGCCTTGGGTTCTGGGGATTGGGCCCTAAGAGGGCTAGTTCTGTGGCTGAAAATAAAACGTGTCCCTCCCCCTACTGGTGGTGTGGCATGAAAGGTTGGAGTGGGAAAGAGCAGGGTTATGGGAGGAGTAAGCCCTGGGGGCGGGCGGGGGGCTGGGCATCGTGGGAGTCTGATCCTTCTGACATAAACATAAGGCATGCAGGAACTGAAAAAGGCACAGACTATATTGTTTACCCTCCATCTGCGTAACCCACATCCCTGCACCCCAGCTGTAGTCTGCTCTAGAGGCTGGCCCTAGTGTGGGGCTGCTGGTCCCGATCTTCAAGACAGAGCCTAGCAGTGCCTGGGTGGAGGCTTGTGGGAGCTGAGGCCACACTCAGTCTGTCCTCTTGAGCACGTGGATGAAGTAGCAGGGAACATAGGCTTGGCCTGGCTTGTAAGGCTTGAAGTCGCCCAGGACGCTGTGCTGGCACTTGCCCCCGAAGGCTGCTTGGAGCAACTCCGTGAAGGATGCCAGACAGTGTGGGTAGTAGGAGAGCCGGAACTTACTGTAACAGAGCCCCCAGCAACCATGAGGGCTGGTGACCTCAGCTTCCCCAACTACTGCCTCACCCCCACTGAGCCAAGTGGTACCTCAAGCCAGGAGAGCCATCCTGGCCAGCCCCCGGCACCTGCACTGTATAGTCCAGGGTCACCATGTGGGCCTTGTTGTTCACTATCAGCACTGATGTTGTGATGTCCTTGGTCAAGTCACTCTGTAGGTGGTGGGGCAGGCTGCGTTAGTCTCTGTAACCTACCTTGGGGCCACTGGACCCTCCCTCCACCCCACCCCCACCCCCAGAGGGCCCCACCTTATAGTAGATATTCTTCCCTGGGGGTGCACAGCCTGTGCTGAGGATGTGGTCGTAGTTGCGGTGATCAATGACCAGCAGGCCCCCTGCTCGCACCATGCTTGCAATGTTTTTCAGCGCCAGCCGGTGCTCACTCTGGTCCCCTGAGCGCCAGGCAGGGGCAGAAAGGCTCCATCTGCTCAGGGCCCCCAGCACCAGTCTCCCTCCCATCTCTCCCCTCCCCAGGGGTGCCAGAGCCAAATCAGAGAGAGGCAGAGAGTCTGCTTTGCAGAGCAGGTGCCCAGAGGTCTGTGAAAGGGGGTACAGCTCAAGGCGGGGGCCATGCCCAAGGCCACACCCTCTCTCACCTTTGCAGTCTGGCAAGTGAGCGAAACTGTTTCCAAGGCAGATGACAGCATCAAAGCCACCCTCTGCTGACTGGGGCACATCTTTGTCCAGAGTCATCCAGTTGGCTTCTTCAATGACTGGGGGCCAGGAAGGGAAAGAGGAATCAGGGAGGCACCATGGTACCAGTAGCAGCCACCTCCACCAAGTGCAGTCCTGCCTGGGATTCTTCTTAAGACACAAAAACTCCCCGTTCGGTTAGGGGAAGGAGAGAAGAGGGATCAAGGGAGGAGGAACCCTGGTTCGGAAGGAGGGCTCTGTGCTTATGGGCTTTTCTTTGAGGGGAGGGACAAGATGCCATAAACACAGTTAAAACCAGCTCTTCACACCCAGTGTCTCATTCTGGAGCTTAAGCCTTGCTTTTCAGAGAAATTACAGTAATTTTGCTGTCTCCCCGAGGAAATTTTGCTGTCTCCCCGAGGAAAACACAACACTCCACCCCCACCCCGACTTAAAGGAGCCCCAGGCAGAATGAACAGTATTCCTGGTGACCGGGCTGGGGGGGCCTGGCTAGACCTGCATACCCCACTTGTCGAAGGCGGGCTCGTGCCGCCGGTTCCAGCGCTCCTTAAGCGCATACTTCAGCATCTTGTCACTGGCATCCACACTTGTCACGCTGAAGCCCTCTTCCACCAGCATAATGGAGTCCACCCTGGGCAGGGCCAGTGGAGAGAGACAGAGAGGGGCAGTCAGGGGAGCCTGGGAGGGCCAGGAGACCCTGTGCCGGACACTTTTGTCTCCACTTCTCAGAGTCCATTCCTCTGCCTCCTCTCCCCAGGCCCTCTCAACTGACCTCACAAATCTATTTCCTATCACCACGAGGCAACTTTTTTTTTTTTAAGGCGTCTCTTCAGAGCTAAGCACTCTACAAATATGCAGTAATTCTCATGGCAATCCTGAGAGGTAAATAGTGTCATTCCCATTTGAGAGACAGACAAGCTGAGGCTCCTCTAAGTTAAAATAGGTGTGCACAAGAGGCAGCAGAACATGGTGGTTTAGAGCACAGGACAGACCTTAACCATCCCAGACCTGTTAGCTCCTCTTCACTGGATGTTGTATGAGGGACTTTTACTTTGCTGAGCCCTCACTTCCCCAGTAGTAAATGAGAGAGTATCACTGCTTAACCTTATGGGGCTTTGTGAGGGTTTGAAAAACTGATGTATCAAAAGCTCCTGGCACTGGCTTGACAGGTGCAAATGTTGAGCAATGTTAACTGTTAACACTGCCCAAGGCCGTCACAGGAGGAATATTTGGAGTCTGTCCGTGGCCCTGGCTCCACAGCCTCAAGGACGCTCACTTTTCTGCCCACAACCTCACTCACACTCAGTCTCCCTTCTCCGTGGCCTCTCCCTGAGCACCCCTGCCCCAACCCTTGGCCTCAGGGGGCACTCGCAGTGCCTGTTCTGCCGGGCAGGTACCTGCTCCTGGCCCTGGTGTCCCACCCATTCCAGACTGGCAAAGGCCGCCCCGACATGCCGGTCCTGTGGTTCTGCGGCTGCGAGGTACAGGCTGAGCCGGACTCCGATCTCATGCAACGCCCCCGGCCCCCTCCTGGGCTTACCCGGTGCCACAGGCCACGTCGAGCACCCGCTGGCAGCCGTGCTGTCGCAGCAGCCCGAGCAGCCATGCCTTGTACTCGGCGGTGCGGCTGCGGGTGTTCCCAATGTACAGCTGCCACACGCGCGCCGCCTCCCCGTCCGCGTACTGGTCCGGGAGCCCTTCGGCTGCCACCCCCAGGGAGCGGGTCCGGTACACGCTGTCCACCATCCTGCGCCGCGCCTGGCTCCGCAGTCACTCGCTCGGCACTTACAGCACAGGCACTTCAGGCGGCCGACCGCCCCACCCGGCCAATGGCAGGTAAGCGCGCGGACACGCCTCTGCTGGGCTTTGCGCCGGACGCCCGAGGCTGTACAGCTGCGGGGAGGGCACTGCCTTGCAATCCTGGGCTAGGTCCTTTTAGCCAGCCTGCGGACCCAGCCCTCTGTGCAATCCCACGGCAGGAGAGGACCCTCGGAATTCTCTGCCCACTTAAACTGGGTCTCCAGGAGAAGGCGAGAGGGGCCAGGAGAGGAGGGAGCAATGAGATTGCCACTCCATCCCCTCCTCCCAAGTTGGAAAGAGAGGAAGTAAAACCTCAGCTCCACAGAGCTGAGCGCCAGGCGGGCAGGACCGGACCGTTCCCAGCGAAGGAAGGCCTCAGCAGATCTAAACAAAGAATGTGCAGCCAAAGTGTGTGGGTCTAGCCAGCCGATGCAGGGAAGACAGGGGGAGTCTCTGGAGGTAAAGCTGGTCTGTCTACCCAAGCCCGGGGCGGAGCCGGGGCTGGAAGAATGCTTCCCGCCCACCTGGAGGCCAATGTGCCTCTGTCGTGTAGGTGACCATCAGGCTTTTCCCTGAGCTTCCTAAGGTGTAAGTTGGGCCTTGCTTCCAATTTCTGGATCACTGAGGACCCTTCTAAAGACCCTTTGCTGGCCGGGCGCGGTGGCTCACCCCTGTAATCCCAGCGCTTTGGGAGGCCAAGGTGGGTGGATCACCTGAGGTCAGCAGTTCGAGACCGTCCTGGCTAACACGATGAAACCCCGTCTCTGCTAAAAATACAAAAAAATTAGCCGGGCCATGGTGGCACTCGCCTGTAGTCCCAGCTACTCAGGAGGCTGAGCCAGGAGAATCGCTTGAACCCGGGAAGGCAGAGGTTGCAGTGAGCCGAGGGCACCACTGCACTCCAGCCTAGTGACAGAGCAAGACTCCGTCTCAAAAAAAAAAAAAAAAAAAAAAAAAAAGGCCGGGTGCAGTGGCTCAAGCCTGTAATCCCAGCACTTTGGGAGGCCGAGACGGGCGGATCACGAGGTCAGGAGATCGAGACCATCCTGGCGAACACAGTGAAACCCCGTCTCTACTAAAAAAATACAAAAAACTAGCCGGGCGAGGTGGCGGGCGCCTGTAGTCCCAGCTACTTGGGAGGCTGAGGCAGGAGAATGGCGTAAACCCGGGAGGCGGAGCTTGCAGTGAGCTGAGATCCAGCCACAGCACTCCAGCCTGGGCAACAGAGCAAGACTCCATCTCAATAACAACAACAACAACAACAACAAAAAAAAACAAAACAACCCTCTGCTTTCACATGAGGCGGGAAAATAGCGTCTGGAGGCAGGGAACATAAGGCCAATTCACACTTCAGTTATAATGGGAAATATCCTCTCCATAGGTGTACACCCACCATTAATAACTTTGTAATTGTAACTTTACTTCATCCTCTTCATTTACATAGGGCATACCCCAAGGAGAGGGTATTTAAACTCACAAAAACTCTGTAACACGGCCTTCGAGCCCCTATGCTCATGATCGCTTGCTGTTGAGTGTACTTGCATTTTCAATGAAATCCTTCATTCTTTTCTTGCTTTGTTTGTGCATTTTGTCCAATTGTTTGTTTAAGATGCCAAGAACCTGGACACCCTCCATCATTAACATATTCTGATGAGCCAGCCAGGGGAAAGAGGTAAGCCCAAAAGTTTGGGATTCATTTTTCTCCCTTTCCTTTCTGCTCAATTACAGGGGCGCGCTCACACTTTCTTTCTTTCTTTCTCTCTTTCTTTCTTTCTCTCTCTCTCTCTCTCTCTCTCTCTCTCCTCCTTCAATTCCAACTTGGGACCCTTGGTGGGCAGCGCCTAAACATGGAAGCAACTGTAGGTTTTTTTTTTTTTTTTGAGACGGAGTCTTGCCCTGTCACCAGGCTGGAGTGCTGTGGCACAATCTCGGCTCACTGCAACCTCTGCCTCCCGGATTCAAGCGATTCTCCTGCCTCAGCATCCTGAGTAGCTGGGACTACAGGTGCATGCCATCACGCCCGGCTAATTTTTGTATTTTTAGTAGAGATGGGGTTTCACCATGTTGGTCAGGACAGTCTCGAACTGCTGACCTGGTGATCCGCCCGCCTCAGCCCCCCAAAGTGCTGGGATGACAGGTGTGAGCCACTGTGCCTGGCCTGCAACTGCAGGTTTCTGGCCATGGCCAGTGAAACTAGGGGTTTCCATGTGGAGAAGCCTAACTGCCACTGCCCGGTTCGCTTAAGGAATCTGGGTCTTTTTCATTTTTTTCCCTCTCTTTTTCAGTCTTACAGCGGCTATTTTCTAGTAACACCTTGGAAATTGAGGGCAATTGGCTGGGGTCACTCTCCGGTATTGCCTGAAGGTCTAGGAACAAATGGGAATAATTGCCCTGCCCTGAAGGGGTAAGGACTTTTTTTTTTTTTTTAAATTATTTCCACACTTGGTACCTGATTCCTACCTGCAGTGCAGGTCGGAGCAAACTCACACCTGTTTCAGGGGATTTAAACCTTCTTTTCTTATGATAAATTCTTCCCTTACATACTCTACTGGCTAAGGAAAAAAAAGACCCACCCGCATCCAGCTCTTACTACACTTCATGGCTATTCTTATAAAGTTCATAGCAGGCTCTGGAGGGAACGCATGCAAAGTGGCACCAGTGCCCACCTAAGTAACATCAGAGACACCTAGAACTCTAACATTGGACCCCCCAGGAGGACGCTCTGTTGGTCCTGCTCCGTGGGACCTCAAACTGCCAAAGGGGATGCCCTTGGCAGGGGTTTTGAGGTCTAGTGTTAAACCCTCCTTAGAATTTTCTCTCACAGGCCGGGCGCGGTGGCTCAAGCCTATAATCCCAGCACTTTGGGAGGCCGAGACGGGCGAATCACGAGGTCAGGAGATCGAGACCATCCTGGCTAACACGGTGAAACCCCGTCTCTAGTAAAAAAATACAAAAAACTAGCCAGGCGAGGTGGCGGGCGCCTGTAGTCCCAGCTACTCGGGAGGCTGAGGCAGGAGAATGGCGTAAACCCGGGAGGCGGAGCTTGCAGTGAGCTGAGATCTGGCCACTGCACTCCAGCCTGGGTGACAGAGCCAGACTCCATCTCAAAAAAAAAAAGAATTTTCTTTCACAGTTGCTATGCTGCTTGGCCCCCGAATCGTTTAGAATCTAAAGTTTATTGTCTAATGGGAAAGTGGGATGGTGTTGCATGCATCCAGGCTTTTGTGCTACTGTTCTAAGCAGGTGGCCTCGTTAACGGGTGATGCTCTCCTTTGGTACTGTTTGGCCCCAGTACTCCTTGGAGCCTGGGGAGGTTTAGCCTTTAAAAATCAAACTGTCCAGCACTTTGGGAGGCCAAGAAGGGTGGATCATGAGGTCAGGAGTTCAAGACCAGCCTGGCCAAGATGCTGAAACCCTGTCTCTACTAAAAATACAAAAATTAGCCAGGCATGATGGCACGCGCCTGTAATCCCAGCTACTCGGGAGGCTGAGTCAGGAGAATCGCTTGAACCTGGGTGGTAGAGGTTGCAGTGAGCCGAGATCATGCCACTGCCCTCCAGCTTGGGTGACACAGCAAGACTCTGTCTCAAAAAATAAGAATAATAATAAAAATGGCCGGGCGCGGTGGCTCAAGCCTGTAATCCCAGCACTTTGGGAGGCTGAGACGGGAGGATCACAAGGTCAGGAGATCGAGACCATCCTGGCTAACATGGTGAAACCCCGTCTCTACTAAAAATTACAAAAAACTAGCCGGGCGAGGTGGTGGGCACCTGTAGTCCCAGCTACTCGGGAGGCTGAGGCAGGAGAATGGCGTAAACCCGGGAGGCAGAGCTTGCAGTGAGCTGAGATCCGGCCACTGCACTCCAGTCCAGCCTGGGCGACAGAGCAAGACTCCGTCTCAAAAAAAAAAAAAAAAAAATAATAATAATAATAATAATAAAATCAAACTGCTTTGGCCAGGCACAGTGGCTCACGCCTGTAATCCCAACACTGGGAGGTTGGGGCGGGCAGATCACCTGAGGTCAGGAGTTCAAGACCAGCCTGACCAACATGGAGAAACCCTGTCTCTACTGAAAATACAAAATTAATAAATTTTAATAATAAATTAATAAAAATAATAAAACTCAAATAAATAAATAAATAAAATAAAAATAAAACTGCCATGAAGACTGCTTTACCTGAAATTTTGGTTCACAGCCTTCCCTTGGATTATCCATTAGGGCAAAGTAAAACCGTCAAGCTTGTACTGCCATCTCATGGCTAACGTTCCAGATCTTCGTTTATGTGTGTGTATACATGTCTAGATGTATTTACTTATATATACACTTACTGTTATATGTTGTGTCTACCAAATTGACTTATAAGTAAAAGAGGGCTTGGCCAGGCGTGGTGGCTCACACTTGTAATCCCAGCACTTTGGGAGGCTGAGGCGGGAGGCTCATGAGGTCAGGAGTTCGAGACCAGCCTGATCAACATGGCGAAATCCTGTCTCTACTAAAAATACAAAAATTAGCCAGGCATGGTGGTGGGCCCCTGTAATCCCAACTACCCGGGAGGCTGAGGCAGGAGAATCACTTGAACTCAGGAGGCAGATGTTGCAGTGAGCTGAGGTCGCACCATTACACGCCAGCCTGGGTGAGAGAGCAAGACTCCTATCTCAAAAAAAAAAAGGCGGACTCATAAATTAAGTAAATATGTCTAAATAATTTTCAAGTTCACTTAAATATAACTTTACTAAACTAGCCAGCTTTAAAATTATTGGGGGAATAAAAATTAAAAGGCCTTCAGATTTGTCAGCATAGGTTTTGTCTAAATTTTATGTTTGTCCTTGCTAGATATATATATATATATATCTATATATATATATATATAGATATATAGATAGATAGATAGATAGATATATAGATATATATATAGATAGATAGATATATAGATTTTTTTTTTTTTGAGACCGAGTCTCGCTCTGTCGCCCAGGCTGGAGTGCAGTGGCAGCTCACTGCAAGCTCCGCCTCCCGGGTTCACGCCATAGGCGCCCGCCACCACGCCCGGCTAATTTTTTTTGTATTTTAGTAGAGACGGGGTTTCACCTTGTTAGCCAGGATGGTCTCGATCTCCTGACCTCGTGATCTGCCCGTCTCGGCCTCCCAAAGTGCTGGGATTACAGGCTTGAGCCACCGCGCCCAGCCTGTCCTTGCTAGATATTTAAAAATGTAAGTGTTATGGCCGGGCGCAGTGGCTCACGCCTGTAATCCCTGCACTTTGGGAGGCCGAGGCGGGCGGATCACGAGGTCAGGAGATCGAGACCATCCTGGCTAACACGGTGAAACCCCGTCTCTACTAAAATACAAAAAATTAGCCGGGCGCGGTGGCAGGCGCCTGTAGTCCCAGCTACTCGGGAGGCTGAGGCAGGAGAATGGCGCGAACCCGGGAGGCGGAGCTTGCAGTGAGCCGAGATGGTGCCACTGCACTCCAGCCTGGGCAACAGAGTGAAGACTCCGCCTCAAAAAAAAAAAAAAAAAAAAGAAAAAAAATGTAAGTGTTAATTCAAGTTGAGAGCTTGGAGTTGCCTGCCTCCATTGAGATAAATGCATATCTGATTGCTTCCTCTGGAGAGACTAATCAGAAACTCAAAAGAATGCAACTGTTTGTCTCCCACCTGTGATCTGAAAGCTCCCAAGCCTCCTCACCTCCAGTTGTCCCACCTTTCTGGACCAAACCAATGTTTGTTTTACATACGGTTTAGTTTTTGTTTTTTGAGATGAAGTCTCTCTCTGTCACCCAGGCTAGAGTGAGTGATGCCATCTCGGCTCACTGCAACCTCCGCCTCCTGGGTTCAAGTTGTTAGAAATGCTTGTTCCCCGGAGGCTGCGCGCAGTGACTCATGCCTGTAATCCCAGCACTTTGGGAGGCCGAGGCAGGCAGATCACCGGAAGTCAGGAGTTCCAGACCAGCCTGCCCAACATGGAGAAACCCTGTCTCTACTAAAAATGCAAAAAATTACCTGGGCATGGTGGCGCCTACCTGTAATCCTAGCTACTCAGGAGGCTGAGGCAAGAGAATCGCTTGAACCCGGGAGGCAGAGGTTGCGGTGAACCGAGATCGCGCCATTGCACTCCAGCCTGGGCAACAAGAATGAAACTCCGTCTCAAAAAAAAAAAAAAAAAAAAGTTGGCCGGGCGGGGTGGCTCACGCCTGTGATCCCAACACTTTGGGAGGCTGAGGCAGGCGGATCACGAAGTCAGGAGATTGAGACCATCCTGGCTAACATGGTGAAACCCCATCTTTACTAAAAAAAAAAAAAAAATTAGCCGGGTGTGGTGGCGCGTGCCTGTTATCACAGCTACTGGGGAGGCTGAGGCAGGAGAATGGCACGAACCCAGGAGGCGGAGCTTGCAGTGAGCCGGGATCACACCACTGCACTTCAGCCTGGGTAACAGAGCGAGACTCTGTCTCAAAAAATAAATTAATTAAAAAAAAATAAAAAAATAAATGCTTGTTCCCCAGTGCCGTAAAGAAATAGCACTTGAACTTAAATTTAATTCCCTCAGCAAGGCCATTTTTACTTTCTGCAGAAAGGGTACCCTCGCCAGCAGTTCTGCCATGAGAGTACACCAAACAAAGTAGACAGGGTCATTTATACCTGACGTGTCCACTTACTGCTGTGTCCGGTTTCCATTGGCTGGAATGGGACCTCACATTCTGTATTTGTCCCTATTGGCTAGCAACTTAGAACTTTTTTTAAAGATGCAAAGGCAGAGGAGAACAAAGGAAGGAGGATGTAACTTGTGGAATGCTGAGAAAGGTAAAAACACCTTCATATAAGAAAGAGAAACAGGCTATGACCTAATGCTTGCTTGTACCAGTATAAGCATGCCAGGGCAAATATTTAGGCTGAATTGTGGGAGCTAAGAACATAAAGTACATTGATTTATTAATTACAGCTAGCAGATATTTAAGAATGTTACTACAGGTCTTTGAATAAATTTTGCTTCTAAGAGAAGTTACTATTTATTCCTAATTAGATGGGGAGGAAAGTCTTTGAAGAGGAACCTCTACTTTTTACAATAGCAATTCTCCTGCCTCAGCCTCCCAAGTATACGGGTGCTCGCCACCACGCCTGACTAATTTTTATATTTTTAGTAGAGACGGGGTTTCACCATGTTGGCCAAGCTGGTGTCTAACTCCAGACTTCAGGTGATCCGCTCACCTCAGCCTTCCAGAGTGCTGGGATCACAGGTTTGAGCCACCGCACCTGGCCGAGGATGGCATCTTTGATGTGAATAAGCTTTTCCCAAATGCACAGATTAAGACTTCTACTGTCATAAAACTCTTGTCTTTCAATATTTTTTCTTGCTTATGCCTCTGAACAATAAAAGTGGAAAAGGCATCTGTTATGTGCACTAATGGGGTGTACTTTTATTTGTGAAGGAGTTTGGAGACAACTTTATAGATGGATAACCTTATACTTTAATAGATAAAAAATGAAGGCCCAGTATAGGTAAAAAACTTTAGTGAGGCCGGGCATGAGCATGGTGGCTCACGCCTGTAATCCCAGCACTTTGGGAGGCCGAGGCAAGCGGATCACCTGAGGTCAAGAGGTTGAGACCAGCTGGCCAATGTGGTGAAACCCCATCTCTACTAAAATAAATAAATAAATAAATAAATAATTAAAAAGTAGCTGGGCATGGTGGCGCGCCTGTAATCCCAGTTACTCGGGAGGCTGAGGCATGAGAATCACTTGAACCTGGGAGGCAGAGGTTGCAGTGAGCCAAGATCGTGCCACTGCACACTCCAGCCCGTGCCACAGAGCGAGACTTGGTCTCAAAAAAAAAAAGTATTCCTCATGATGGCTTCTATAGTAAATTCTACTGTAAAGGCTACAAGTTACACAATAGACTTTAAATTCTCTTGTGAAAGTTATGATAGAATTGGCTAAACAGAGAAGTATCTGTGCAACTGCTGACACTTGTGGCCTATGGAGAAATACATCACCTGAAGATTATAGAAATTCGTTGGTACGGAATTAACAGAGGGACTGCTTAGTCAAGTGAGTAAACTTTTTTTTTAAAGACAGAGTTTCGCTCTTGTTCCCCAGGCTGGAGTGCAATGGCACCATCTCGGCTCACCGCAACCTCTGCCTCCCGGGTTCAAGCAATTCTCCTGCCTTAGCCTCCCGAGTAGCTGGGACTACACGCATGCACCACCACGCCTGGCTAATTTTGCACTTTTAGTAGACCAACATTCTCCATGTTGGTCAGGCCGGTCTTGAACTCCCAACCTCAGGTAATCTGCCCGCCTTGGCCTCCCAAACTGCTGAGATTACAGGCGTGAGCCACCGCACCCGGCCATGAGTAAATGCTTTATCTAGCTCATTATTTGATCTATGTGATTTTAGGTGGTTTGGTTTATAGGGAACCTGGGTAAGGAGCATACTCCAAACTCTTGGCATCATCCTCCCAATAGTCAGAATAATAATATCCCTGGTGTGCTGTATTCTCTCAAATGTTTTAAATGCTTGCATGCAGCCATCTCTAGAATGTCAAATGATCTTTCTTCAACTGGAATAACAGGAGCTAAAAAAATGTGCAACCATGAGGACATCGTAACCTATAATTGATGTGCTGAGATCGGAAACCCAAAATGATGGTAACTGAGAGTGGCGTTAAGGCCCTAAGTTTTGGTCACACTCTCACCTAAATGACAGCCTAACCAAAAAGGGGGAATTTTTTAAACAAAATTATGGGAGGCCATTGTTTTAGACTAGGCTCATGCACTAGGCCCCAACAAACCAAACCAAAATGGAGTCGCTCATGCTAGGACTTTAAGGAAACACATAGATTCTAAAACAGACCAGGTTTAATTTTTTCTCTTCTGCAAATCTCTATGACAAACATTTCTTTCTTTTTTTTTTTTTTTTCTGAGACGAGTCTCACTCCCTCGCCCCCAAGGCTGGAGGGCAGTGGCGCAATCTCAGCTCACTGCAACCTCCACCTCCCAGGTTGGAGCAATTCTTCTGCCTCAGCCTCCCGAGTAGCTGGGATTCCAGGTGTGCACCACCACGCCCCGCTAATTTTTTTGTATTTAGTAGAGACAGGGTTTCACCATGTTGGCCGGGCTGATCTTGAACTCCTGACCTCGTGATCCACCCACCTCGGCCTCCCTAAGTGCTGGCATTACAGGTATGAGCCACTGCGCCTGGTTGATATAACAAATATTTCTAACAGCATAGGTATCCACCCCCTGCAGTTCCCATTAAATGTTTTAACTAAATTCATTTCCTCTTGCCTAGAGACCATCAGGCTTCAGCTGATCATGCAACAAAGGTTCCAGCCAGTTCCAGGTGAGGACACCAGCCCTGGCCCTCAAAAAGCTACCCTGCCTCCACTAGACAGAGCAGGGTGAGAGTTCCACGATCCCCAATATGTAGGGACCGTCCCCAAAGCCAGCATGAAGCAGTTACAGAAAAAAGATCATGTGTCCCTCTGTCTCCCATAAAGATTGATGGAGATCACATCTCAGGGGGCAGATGAGGCAGGAAAATAGGGTCTGGAGGCAGGGAACATAAGGCCAATTCACACTTCAGCTGTAACAGGAAATATCCTCTCCCTAAGGCATACATAATTGTAACTTTAAAACTTCATCCTCTTCATTTACATAGGGTGTTCCCCAAGTAGAGGGTATTTAAACTCACAAAAATTCTGTAACAGGGCTTTTGAGCCCCTTTGCTCATGCTCACTCCCATACTGTGGAGTGTACTTTCACTGTCTTTTTTTTTTTTCTTTTTTTTGAGATGGAGTCTCCCTCTGTCGCCCAGGCTGGAGTGCAGTGGCATGATCCTGGTTCACTGCAACCTCCACCTCCTGGGTTCACGCCATTCTCCTGCCTCAGTCTCCCGGGTAGCTGGAACTACAGGCACCTGCCACCATGCCTAACTAATTTTTTGTATTTTTAGTAGAGACGGCGTTTCACCATATCAGCTAGGATGGTCTGGATCTCCTGACCTCGTGATCCGCCTGCCTCAGCCTCCCAAAGTGCTGGGATCACAGGCGTGAGCCATCGCACCCGGCTCATTTTCAATAAAACCCTTCATTCCTTCCTTGATTTGTTTATTTTGTCCAATTTTTTGTTCAAGATGCCAAGAACCTGGACACCTTCCACTGTTAACACACGGACAAAGTCCGGGGCCGGGAATGGGGGTGCTTGGTGTCCTTGCTATTCTTTTTTCTTTCTTTCTTTCTTTTTTTTTTTTTTGAGATGGAGTTTTGCTCTTGTTGCCCAGGCTGGAGTGCAATGGCACAATCTTGGCTTACTGCAAACTCCACCTCCCGGGTTCAAGCGATTCTCCTGCCTCAGCCTCCCAAGTAGCCGGGATTATAGGCATGCACCACCATGCCCAGCTAATTTTTTTTTTTTAATCTTTTTACCAGCTAATTTTTTGTATCTGTAGGATCAGAGTGAGCCCAGGGTTTCACCTTGGGGTTTCACCATGTTGGTCAGGCTGGTCTCGAACTCCCGACCTCAGGTGATCTGCCCACCTTGGCCTCCCAAAGTGCTGGGATTACAGGCGTAAGCCATCACACCCAGCCGTGTCCTTGCTATTCTGTGGCTCACCATCATCATAAATTCATTGTTTGGTTTGGTTAGTATATGTTCACCAGAGAAGACAGTTTCCCCTCCCAGATTTCTCTCCCAAAGATAAGACTCTGGACAGAAAGTAGATTCAGGTAGATGTCACCCAACCTCTCCGTACCCTGCCCATCTTTGTTCTGGCTTCAGAAAGTGAATTAGGGAATTTAGAACAAAGGAGCCTCCTCTCCACTAACCCTTTTATTGTCTATAGAATCTCAGAGCTGGAGGAACCCCAAAGACGTGTAATCATTCTTAACTGTTTATTTTTAGCACACAGACTGCCTTGAATGGGGCTGTCCATGCCCAAGTAATGAAACCTTGGGCTCACTCTGATCCTACAGATGCATCTTTGGCAACAGGTTTAGAAAGCCTGGATTGGGGCCGGGCATGGTGGCTCATGCCTGTAATCCCAGCATTTTGGGAGGCTAAGGCAACGGATCACCTGAGGTCAGGGGTTCGAGATCAGCCTGGCCAACATGGCAAAACATCATCTCTACTAAAAAATACAAAAATTAGCTGGGCGTGGTAGCAGGTGCCTGTAATCCTAGCTATTCAGAAGGCTAAGGCAGGGAGAATTGCTTGAACCTGGGAAGCAGAGGGTGCAGTGAGCTGAGATTGTGCCACTGCACTCCAGCCTAGGTGACAGAATGAGACTTTGTCTCAAAAAAAAAAAAAAAAAGGCCGGGCGCGGTGGCTCAAGCCTGTAATCCCAGCACTTTGGGAGGCCGAGGTGGGTGGATCATGAGGTCAGGAGTTCGAGACCAGCCTGACCAACATGGTGAAACCCCATCTCTACTTAAAAACAAAAATTAGCCAGGTGTGATGGCATGTGCCTATAATCCCAGCTACTCAGGAGACTGGGGCAGGAAAACTGCTTGAACCTGGGAGGCAGAGGTTGCAGTGAGCCAAGATCATGCCACTGCACTCCAGCCTGGATGACAGAGTGAGACTCTGTCTCAAAAAAAAAAAAAAAAAAAAAAAGAAAAAAGAAAAAAAAAGAAAAGAAAGAAAGAGAAAGAAAAAAAGTCTGGAGAATGAAGAGTGATATTAAATTGGAATAATAACCAAGATGATACGGGAATAATTTCTTTGTCACTGTCTACAAATGAATTGGCTATATATACAATATTTGAAACGTTAAGTGGCTTATGTCAATTTATTATTTTTCCCTTTATTATTACTTTCTTTTCCATTTGTTTTGTGCGGGAAAGGAATGCTGAAGGAGGTAATAGGGTCACTCTTTTTTGAATTTAAATTTTTTTTTTTTTAAACAAGGTCTTGCTTTGTCACCTAGGATGGAACACAGTGGTGTGATCATAGCTCACTGCAGCCTTGAACTTGCAGGCTCAAGCAATCTTCCCACCTCAGCCTCCTGAGTAGCTGCCATTATGGGGGTGCGCCACCATACCTGGCTTTTTTTTTTTTTGGTAGAGATGGGGTCTCACTATGTCGCCCAGGCTTGTTTCAAACTCCTGGACTCAGCGATCCTCTTGTCTCAGCCTCCCAAAGTGCCTGGATTACAGGCATAAACCACCTCCCCTGGCCTGTTTGAACTCTTGTTTACAAATTATTCATTGATATTTCAGTAGGTAGAATATTGTATCTAATTATATCTATTGTATCTTCTTTAATTATTGCCAAAATGTACCAAATAATTGCAATCCTTCATCTATAAAGTGTCCATGTCCTGACCACTAAAATATATTAAAACTCCTTTTTATTTTACTTAATTCGTCTCCATAAATTTTATTTTATTTTTGTAGTGACATAGTCTCACTTTGTTATCCAGGCTGGTCTCAAACTCCTGGGCTCAAGCAATCCACCTGCCTCAGTTTCCCAAAGTGCTGGGATTACAGGCATGACCACCATGCCTGGCCATCTCTCTGTAAATTGTAGGTGACCCAAATCTGAGGCCCTGGGCCACAGAAAAGATCACAGAATATAAATCAATTTACTGTTTGACTTCATTGAAAATAATAATAGGTCCAGCCTGGCCAACATGGTGAAATCCTGTCTGTACTAAAAATACAAAAATTAGCCGGGTGTGGTGGCGCACACCTGGAATCTCAGCTACTCGGGAAGCTGAGGCAGGAGAATCACTTGAACCTGGGAGGTAGAGGTTGCAGTTAGCTGAGATCACACCACTGCACTTCCCTGGGCGACAGAGTGAGACTCAGTCTCAAAAAAGAAAAAAAAGAAAAAAGAAAAGAAAATAAGAACATTTAAAATACGGACACATTATTTGGAATTGGCTGAAAATACTAAATTCTTTATTCCCAAACGTATGACATGTTTGCAAAAAGACTTCATCTTGGGAATGTGGCTATAACTGGACTAATTCCAAGTCCTACTTGAGGACACATTAAAATCCTGCAATTGTGAACTATGTAGATACAATAACTGCAAATGGGAGACATCCTGGTTGTTTTGATGTTTTTTTTTTAAGACAGAGTCTCACTGTGTTGCCCAGGCTGGAGTGCAGTGGTGCATTCTCGGCTCACTGCAAGCTCCACCTCCCAGGTTCATCCGATTCTCCTGCCTCAGCCTCCCGAGTAGCTGGGACTACAGGCGCCCACCACCACGCCCAGCTAACTTTTTGTATTTTTAGTAGAGACAGGGTTTCACCGTGTTAGCCAGGATGGTCTCAATCTCCTGATCACGAGGTCAGGAGTTCGAGACCAGCCTGGTTGATATGGTGAAATTCCATCTCTACTAAAAAGTACAAAAATTAGCCAGGCATGGTGGTGTGTGCCCATAGGTCCCAGCTACTCAGGAGGTGGAGGTTGCAGAGAGCTGAGATCGTGCCACTACACTGTAGCCTAAGTGACAGAGTGAGACTCCATCTCAAAAAAAAAAAAAAAAAAAAAAAAAAAAAAGGCGGTTTTACGGAGTGCTAACCTCCAGTAAGATCTCTTCAGTACACACAGATCGGTTCACTGAGCTATTATTATTCAACATAAAAATGATATGCTATTTCAGGCCCTGATAACAGGCTAAGCATTGTTTATTGAAACAGGTGATGTAGCACACACCATCACATCTAAAACACCAAGACTGGGCTGGTGAGTCCAGGTGACCCTTGAACAACTTGGGGGTTAGAGGCCCCAACTCCCCACACAGTTGGAAATCCAGGTGTAACTTTTTTTTTTTTTTTGAGACCGGGTCTTGCTCTGCTAACCAGGCTAGAGGTGCAATGGCATGATCTCAGCTCACTGAAACTTCCACCTCCTGTGCTTAAGTGATCCTCCCACCTCAACCTCCCAAGTAGCTAAGACCACAGGAATGCACCACCGTGCCTGGCTAATTTTTCTATTTTTTTGTAGAGATGGGTTTTTGCCATGTTGCCCAGGCTGGTCTCAAACTCCTGAGTTCGAGAGATCTGCATGCCTCAGCCTTTCAAAATGCTGGGATTACAGGCATGACCCACTGTGCCCGGCCCCGACATATAACTTTTGACTCCCCAAAAATTCAATTACTAAGAACCTACCATGGACCAGAACCCTTACCTATAACATAAAATCGATAATACATATCTTTTTTTTGAGAGACAGACCAAGTCTTACTCTGTTGCCCAGGCTGGAGTGCAGTGGCGTGATCTTGGCTTACTGCAGCCTCTGCCTCCTGGGTTCAAGCAATTCTCCTGCCTCAGCCTCCCAAGTAGCTGGGATTACAGGCGTGCATCACCACATAGGCTAATTTTTGTATTTTCAGTAGAGACGGGGTT